TCCTGACTATCTTCCAGTCCAAGGAGATTCCATACTTCATCATGGCAAGGATGGCATCAGATGGCTACCGCTCGGTGGAGGACCTTGCCGATCGATGGCCCACCATCACGGAGGCCCGGAACAACTCCCCAGCAGACCTCCAGTTCCGTCACACAGACCGTGGGGGAGCTTTGATCACACAAGAGAAGACGAATCACCTGGCCATGCGCATTTCACAATGTGTCCGTCAAGCACAACAGTTGCTGGGCACTGGGGGCCTGAACCAGGGCCGAGTGGGACCTGCAGGGCTACTGCCGACGACGTCACAGGCGGCGCCCTCCCTGGATGCCCTGTGTGATCGACGCCAGCTCCTGCAGACATGGACGGTGGTCGTCCAGCTCCCACTCCCACGATTGGAGGATCAAGGCTCGGATGCCTTGTTGAAGAAACAGTTCAAACTCTGTGCGCAAGGAGAAGTTGGCTGGATTGCCAGCAAGTACATCATATCAGCCCTACCAGACCAGGATGAGCGGCCTATCAAGACCACCAAGAAAGTGACGGTCGATGGATGGGAAAAGGAAGAAGAGGAGGAGACACGGAAACTCCCAACTACGAGGCGTCAGTTGGAGCACATGCACCTGGTCTTTCGAACCAACCTCCTCATGGCCATCCTCTCATTTCCCAGCATGCCGAAGCTGAACATCACCCATAGGGACCTAGAGGACTGGTACCGATGGTTCTGGGGAAAAGACATTGCGGATAGGAGACCGCCTCCCAGTGAACAGGTTCTCCTCTACGCTGAAAGGAACGCATGGAGGGAGATCCACAACTTGGTCTACGGGGGACTGGGCCTCAAGGAGGCCATGGCCCAACTACGTCAGGACACCCTGTTTTGGACCAGAGAGGTCTATGAGTCTGTCGCCCGGCAGAAAGGCAACAAAGGCTCCGGGCCTGACTCCCCAACACGACCAGCCAAGTCAAAGGGACGCCAACCTTCGTGGTCACCAACTCAGCCACAATGGAACAAACAAAAAGGGTCACCCAAAGGGGGTAAGGCCAAAGGGGCCATGGGATCCGGAAAAGGGAAGGACTCTGAATGGCCTTCAAACTGGGCTAAGATCTCACCCAAGGGAGTACAGTACTGCCGTGACCACTTCCTCAAGAAGAAATGTCCCGGGAACTGCGGACGCTCCCACAACTGTCCGGTCCTCAAGAATGGCTGGGTATGCAACGCCGCACCCTCAGAACACACCCCAGAGCAATGCCCACACCGTTGACTCCTGGCGGACCCGGTAGCGTCTTGCACCGATCACCCACCAGGGTTGATGGACACCCCAACACCTGTCAAAAACCAAGCAACAACGGAACCGGGGGGGTCTCCCCCAGGTTACCCCAACGACACAAGCACACCACATACACAACAAGAGGCAGTGGGCCGACCACTTGATACAACGATGATCATGAATGGACAGTCCCTGCTTGGGCACTGTCCATGGCTCTCATCGGTTCCCAACAGGCTGTTGGAACGCCTTGTATGGACCACACAACCCACGGGGAGCCTCCACGGGAGGGACATACTACTCCTCTACACCGGCAGGAGTGACGGAGGAGCCTTGGATGACATACTCATCCAACAACACCAGGACCTGGCCCCCAGGATCCTTGCCGTGGACATCCTGAGGCCACCAGAAAAGGGCCCAAACGACATATTGGATGATGAGTTTTACTCAACTCTCTGCTGCGCCGCCGCGAGGGGCCAGTTGTCATTTGTGGGGGGCGGCCCCAACTGCCGGACCTGGAGCATCCTACGATGGTTTCCAAAGCCTGGAGCGCCCAGGCCAGTACGAGGGCGTGATCCCTCCCAGACATGGGGCCTTGACTCAAATTCCCTGGAAGAACAGTTGGACACAGACAAGGACAGTATCCTTCTGCTCCGGCAACTGGTCATCACTGCCCTAGCCGCAAAAGCCAGGCAAAACAAAGGATTCCACTCGTTCTTGGAACACCCTCGTGACCCAGCTGAGTGTAGTCGGGCACCAACGGCGGCAAAATGTTCATCGATATGGGCCACTAGAGTCTACCAGGAGTGGGCCAAAGAGGTAAATCACTGCCAGATCCACCTGGACCAGTGCAGACTGGGACAAAGGGCACAGAAGAGTACGACCTTCTCAACGGACCTTCCAATTCACCATTGGCAAGGCCTCCAGTGCAACCACTCTGGACATTTGAAGCCAATGGAGATGACCTCCCGGGACCTCAGCAGGTACCCGCCAGCACTGATGACAGGGCTAGCAGCAGCAATCATCCAGAGCATTCCAAACACAGGACATCAACCCAACGGGTGCCAACAGGAAGGGGAGCCTCCAGGTCGGACGGACCGCTCCTCATCGGTACCCCTCTCCCAGACGATGACTTTGGATGACGACCCGATCATCGTTCAATCAGGCTTTAAGACTAGACCTCTACGGGATGGAGGAGGTAAGCCCTCAGCCGGGAGACGACCTCCCCCGCTCAGACCTCAGTCCAAGATCAAGCACATTGGAGACTCCATTAGCCACCTGGCAAAAGGATGTGCACAGGACGTCCAACGGTCCATCAACAGGGGTGAAAGAAAACATCCGTTCCCGAAGGAACTTCTTCAGGAGACACGACGGGCCATTGCCCAAGGGATCGGGCTGGACTACCAAATTGCTGAGGAGATGGAGCCAGGCCAGCCGTTCTATCTGAACCTCATCTCAGCCTTAGCGGAAGCTGGTGGAGATGCAGATGCGGCCTACCCCACAAGGGTTGCCAAGGGAGTCCCCTTAGGTGTCACCACACCCACCTGGACATCACCAGGTATATGGCCTACCAAGGAAGAACTCAAAGGAGAATCCCCTCTGTGGGAGGACCTCCTAATACCCATGGGCAGGGACAACTACCCCTCGGCAAAAGATTTCTCCTCTCAGGTCCGACAGACCTTCGTGGAAGAGGTAGATATGGGTATGGTTGAGGGCCCACTCACACAGGAGGAGGCTGCACTCCGCTGTGGATGCACCCCAGATGAACTCTGCCCAGGGCCCCTGGCGGCAATTGACGAAGGAGATAAAATCCGCACAATCTACGACGGAAGCTGGGGCCATGCAAACTCACACATCCAACAAAACACAGTTGAGAAGACCACTGCACCCACAGTGATGGACTGTGTTCAAGCCATTCACTGGCTAACCACCACGAAGGAGAAGACATCTGGGACGGTAGCGTCTTGCACCGACCTGGCATGGCAACCTCCACACAAACAAACCACCTGGGCACTTTTGAAAGCAGATGTTTCAAAAGCACACCGCCGCATCAAGGTCCAGTCCAATGAATGGCGCTACCAGGTAGCACAACTTGATGGTGAATGGTGGATAAACAAGGTGGGTACCTATGGTATGGCCAGCGCCCAACTTTATTGGGGCAGAATGGCGGCACTCCTCCTCAGACTATGCTACATGATGTTTCCACACATAGACTGGGGCTTTGTGTTCGTGGACGATTTTTGTTGGCTCCTCAGGACGGACTCCGCCACTGAGGATACTGCAAAACTGCTTCTCTTCTTAGCAGCCATGGGATGCCCCCTCAGTTGGCACAAGACGGTGTTATCTGAGGTCAACACCTGGTTAGGTTTCCAGGTCAATCCATGCGGACCCGTGGTCGACTTCCCTCCAGATAAGAGGAAGACACTTGAGGCACTCCTTCAGACCATTGCTGCGGGCAACACCTTCACGGTGAAGGAGATTGAGAGAGCACTGGGACGATTAAATTGGGCAACGGCAGCTTGGCCCCTCAGTCGCCCTTTTCTTCAGCCATTTTGGGCATGGAAATCCGCGACGACTACCTCAGGGAAGCCCGGCAAGCTCATACGATCCTTTTCAAAGCTTCTCCTCCAGCTGCTTCACAACCCCCAGATCCAGCCCTGCCCTTACGACCCTGCCTCCAATTGGTGGGGTGCCAGTGATGCTAGTGCACACCCGGACGATGGGGCCTACATTGGGGGGTGGATTGCAGATTGTGAGAACCCATCAAAGGAACAGACCTGGTGGTTCCATTACAAGATACCCCTCGAAGACCATCCATGGGCTCACAAGGATGGTGATCCAACCAGACGCATTGCGACCCTCGAGATGTTTGGTACATTGATTCTTACCCACTTCCTTCTGGCTTTGGGTGGGAAATCTCTGCTTCGTACCCGTCTCAGCCTCATTTCAGACAATCAAGGCAATGTCTTTGCCCTGTTGAACCAGAAGACGAAGCACATGCCTACCTCAGCTTTCCTAATGCAGCTCATCGCCATGCTCTATGTTGCTGGGGTTCAATTGGCGCCTTCACACATGAAGCGGGACTACAACAAGTGGGCGGACGAACTCACCCACCCAAACTTCACTGGTTTTCATCCTGATCGACGACTACCAGTGAGTGAAGCTTTTTCCCATTTTAAATTTCTCTGGGCCCTTCTGGATGACCAGATGAGTGTCCCCACCTTTTCAGGAAATTCAAAACGTCGTAAGACCGACTCTCACGCCACCTAAGGTCCTTCGGGAGCCAGGTGGTTGCGGCTGACTTTATGGTGTACAGTGGTGTTTTCCCACCTACAACCCTCTTTTTCCTTTCCTTACTTGCGCGAGCTTCACGCTCCGGCGGGTTGGGTGGATTTTGACGTGTGACACCACCACTGCAGTTCAGAGTTTCTGTGAAACCATTTGTGATTGATGCGATTGGCATCTGACAGAAACACAGCCGCAAAGCCAACTGCATAACAAAAGGTGCTGACTGACCGATGCAGTTGCTTTGTTCCGTTTCTGTCATTTTCAATTCTATTCGGGAACACATTGAAGTATTCTGAAATTGTTTTGAATACATGGTGGTCGGAAGATGTCAGAACTTGTCAGAAGCATCCAGAGAGTGTCTGAAAAAAACACTTTCAGTCCATTGGTATCCATTTGTTGATTGAGCATCGGGTAGGCACTTGCTTTTTGACTTCCAAATATGAAGCCATACAGGTTCTGGACCTTCAAGAAGAAGCACGCGAGCTGGATGCGCAATGCAAGGTGAGGCTTTGTGGCATTTGGACAGCACAGTTGTGGAAAGCAACCAAAGCTACAATCTTGCAGCATGTTGCAGTCCTCGTTGAAACTTTCCATAACTTGTAACATCTTGCAAGAATGTGACGAATGTGGTTGCCAGAGATGAAGGGAGCCTGGGGCAAACTCCGTGACCCCATGACCCCATGACCCCATGACCTCACCCATCATCATCATCTCCGTCATCGTCATCCGTCATCGTCGTCATCGTCATCATCGTCATCATCGTCATCATCGTCATCATCGTCATCATCGTCATCATCGTCATCATCGTCCATCATTTCGCACATCGTTTTGGCACATTTGCTGCACACAAGCCTAGAGGCGCGAATCGAGTCAGCCACCCAGAGCAAAGAAACCTTTTTGGAAGAGAATGCATTGATGAAGCTTGGAGTGTCGACCTGCAAAGGAAAAGGCCGACGATGTGACCCCAAGAACCCGTGAAACCTTGCCGGTGATACAACATAGTATGTAGGTGTCATGATGTGTCATGATGTGTCATGATGTGTCATGATGTGTCATGATGTGTCATGATGTGTCATGATGTGTCATGATGTGTCATGATGTGTCATGATGTGTCATGATTCAAGCCCAACTTGACTGGAGACTCCAGAATTTCGATTCTGTGGCACGGAAGCACTGTCACGGCTTGGTTCCATGAGGTTTCGCAGCGGGCAAGCACGCAAAGTGGAAGATCTCCTTATTGCAGCTTCGCTTCACTGATGATATTGAGATATTGAGACTCTCTGACCATCTCTGACCTCTTTGATTTCTCACTGCCAACTTGGCGCCGAAAAGAGACTTTTACTACACATTCCGGTGAACAGTTTCATCGTTTTTGGAGTGTTGGTGTAGTGCGTGTAGTTCTGGCTCTGCTTTTATCGCTGAGCGCCTAAGGCAAAGCGCCGCATCGAGGCCAAGTTGCTCAGTGCCGGGCATGGCGTCGCCGACGACGGGAAGCTCTCGGTCATCACCCGGGTGCCCAAAGGGTGTCCAAAACTGGAGCTGAGAAGCTGGGAAACTACTGGTTGTATCTGGGTATTACTATTGTCAGTATTGTCAGCATTGTTAGTGTTATTTGGAAACTGAGACGAAAAAAATGCTTCAGCCTTCCATGTGGCACCTGATCAAGAACAGCTGGAAATCAATGATTTTCAGCTTGGGCAGTCGGGATATAGGGATGCCGGTTCTGAAAACGGTGACTTGAGGTGAACTTGGCAGATGAAGATGCCTTGCTCACCGCGGCAAAGCAGCCCCTGTGAGTCCGGCCGAAGTAATTTGCCACAGCAGGACATCCCAGGAAGCTAAAACATCTAAAACGCTGAAATTGTAATGGACAAACGGAACAGCAATACATGAGCAATACTAGGCAGTGGGTCAAAATGGATCAAAGCCCCTCAGACATCCTCAGACCATGATTTGGGATGAATCCATTTGCCAGCTATTTCAGTGTTCACCATGGTCTTGGCACATATACCCATTTGTCCTTCAAACAAGTGTCACAGACTGTCACAGTGCTTCATGTTCCATTCGAAAGAACGGCAAGAATCCGGGTGTGTCAGAGTGGCTGTAGCCGAAGTGATTTGGTGGATTACCCCCACCTTCAGCACAGAGGATGCACCGCAGCAGGTGTTCACTTGAGCCTCGCCTGGCTGCCCTTTGCCCAGTGTTGATAATCGACACCAGAACATGCCTACACAAAATACCACATATGATATACATAAGCAGAAAGATACCATAATATACCTTTGAAAATTATGGTCAAGATGTGCTTAGGAGTCTGCATCAAACATGAATGATTTTTTATATTTATATGCTGCATATGGTTTTGTCCGCTATATTGCCTCACAACCAAGTCGGATCAAAGTTGTAGTAGCAAGCTCAATTTTTGGCCAGTTGTTTTGTGAGCTGTCTTCACGAGCCAAAGACTCTGATATTGCATGCGCTGACACCTTCAACATAAGCAAAGTTTGAAACTCAACTCTCTGTTGTTTTGCGTCGTTATTGCTGACACACATTGCTTGAAGTTCATATGGGATGTCTTGAAGGATTTTCAGAGACCGCAGTGGTGCATCCAAGATGGTTCCCCAGCACCCGGTGGTTTGGAGCTGGTTCGAGGAGGTAAATGAACATATATAAATCAACTTCACTGTTGTGGCAAGGTGATGGGCTGAAGTCAACTTAGGATTTGCACTCAAGCAGACGCTAAGCAGACAAGATGATTCGAACAAACCTGCAGCATCGAATTAAGAAGAAAACTGAAACCTTGTACTGTATCCTACAAGCTGCCGGATGGATGCTGCCAGTAGTCAAGGTAGTTTCAGGCATGTATCATTTAGTGTGGCCACAGAGCCACGGAGTCGAAGTGATTTGGGATCAGCGCCAGCCTATACAGTCGAGTTTTTGGCCGGCGTGACGTGTATTGAAGAACTGGCAAAAAAAAAACTGGAGAATCTGAGAGCATAGCAAAGTACCACTTCAACCCATTTCGTTGAACTGTCAGAGACTGCATGAGTGTTTGCAGACCTCATTGTCTTGTTCAATTTTATTTACACTGGATTGGAGCAGACAGACTTTCGATCCATGGCAGTGTGATGGACTCATGTGTCATCGAGCTATATTGGATTGGGATGACTATATATCTATAATATATATACTGTATGATGCTGTGTGATATTAAAAGTTTAAGATAAATCACCATAGGAATATCCATGGCTGCAAACCTCATCTCAATGCACGACTGTGAGAGGCCAAATGTTTCGCCACAGCATCGTGCCAGGCCTGGTCACTGGCTGCGGCTACAACCGCCCAGCGCCACCCACTGAGCCGCCACCTATGCCACCTTCTGGGGCGTCCGGGTGCTTAGGGGTGGCCGGGATCGGCCAAACTTCACCAAAGATGAGAAATGGCAAAAATGGCAGAAATATTGCAAGCAGGTCACAGAAATGTGGCATGCAGCATTTTTAGTTTCAAATTAGTTCGGATTGGTTTTAGATTGGTGCCTGAGGTCTCCACTCCCTGGACTGAACTTTGGCCTTGGGTTGTTGGGCCCGACACTGGGACCAGGCTCACTGGGACCAGGCTTGATCCCAGGCCCTCCAGGTCGTCAGCCTCAACATGTCGGGCATCACCCCATTGGTGCCGGACCCATTGGGGCGGTGGGGGGTGCGATCGGTCCGGCTCCGCAAATGGGGCCCGACTGGGGTCGACACCATCCCATGCAGCCAATGCAGCCAATGCAGCCAATGCAGCCAATGCAGCCAATGCAGCCAATGCACAACCATCAACAGCTACCGCAGCAACTACCGCAACAGACGCAACAGATTCCCCAGCAATTGCAGCAACTGCCTATGCAGCAACTGCCTCAGCAACAACAATTTCAACCAAAGGCAGTGGGCACTACACCATTGCCTGCACCTGATGCCTTCCATCAAGAACGTGTACCCGCACCGGAACTCGTGCAAGCGCCTGAGCCTGTGAAATCTGCCGCCTTGCCACGTGAAGCGCCACCTCTGGAGGTTTCCCCGGAGCCGCGCCAGGAGCGCCAGGAGCGCCCGGAAGAAGCCCCTGAGCGCAAGGAGAAGGAGAAATACGTGCCGCCGGTGAAGCGATATTCTCAAGGTGATCGCGAGCGCCTCGAGCGCCCCGAGCGCACGGAGAAGGCAGAGAAGCGCGAAGAGAAAGTGGAGAAGGTGGAGAAGGCCGAGAAACAGGAGAAGCGCTTCGAGGCGGCTGCGATTGAAAGGCGACGGCACAGTCAGGGCCCCAGGATGTGCCGGAATGGATGAAAGACGATGGAGATGAAACTTTATTAATGCAAATTGATGTTCATTCATGCAGCGAAATCGGGGCACCTCGCAGCAGCAGGTTCGGACAGCTGGGAGGAATCTACGCCTGTTCGGGCAGCTCCCACCACTCCTCCAGGTGCTGAAAGGGTGTCGTACCGTGGGGTGCTGTTTTTGTGCCTTGACAAGATAATGGAACGCATGGTGATGCCCATTATATATCCAGCATTGAATATATATATATATAATATAATATAATATAATATATATATATATGTTTATATAATATATATATAATATATATAATATATATATAATATATATATATAATTGTTTGCAGGTTCTGCCGCGGTCAAGATGGACGACAAGGACGCTGTGGGAATCAAATTTGGCTGTGGCTGGGAGAGCTGCAATCCAAAAGGGGCGCGGATCTAAATTATTTAAGCTGCTGCCCCACCAAGAAAAACTGAAAATGCTTGTTCGAGTCACGCCTAAATTGACAACGTATGGGGAAGACAGGAGTCATACAAACAAATGCAACACAGTCACCGAGCCTCATCCCGAGAATTCCGTGACGGAGTTGTTGTTTTTGGTGATTCTGCAGGAGAATCCAAAAGTCCGCACAGACTTGATCCGTGCGGTCTTTCGAGCCTGCGACACCAACGGTGATGACTGGCTTGGAGAGACCGAATTTCGCACCATTGTTGGGGCGCCTTATGGGGTTGTGTTCTGATCGCTCCCTGCATCATCCTGCATCGTCCTGCATCGTCCTTTATCGTCCTATGTAATTTGGTTCGCCCATGTTCACCCAACGTACAGGAGTGACTTCGCTGAGGCCAGATTCTATGGCTTCAGTGGCAGCGATGAAAAGTGGTCGGAGGAGTTCAAGAAGCTGTGCGAGGAGAAGCATGTGGATCCCAAAAAGGGCATAGGCCAGGATCCGTTCCGCGGATGCTAAGCAGGCATATATTTTGATATATTTTGTATTATTGGCGCATTTCTTTGATTTGCATCCCTTGAATTTTCTGTTTTTGTACCTTCGCATTCTTCGTTGCTCTTCCGCGCAGGCCAGACCCTCTTCAGCAAGCTGCTGAATGAGGATGCGGGGCTGCTGGCGACCACTGATGATCTCAGAAAGATGTTGAAGAAGCTGGAAGACATCAACAAGCCGCAGTCCCAGAGGGTCTCTGAATGTAAAGTGGCCTACAGGGCCTACAGATCTTGCACAATCGTCATGACCTGAGCATAATACATTCTAAACATGCCGTGGTTTGGTGTAGCCGTGGATGCCATGTGATGCCAATGTGATGGATCGTGGCCATCCAGGAAGACTGGCGCGTCCAAGGAGGCGGCCAAGGCTCAAGGACAGAGCTGCACTTGGTTGTGGTGCAAATTGCCCAGTAGAATATCCAAGACATTCCAGACAAGAGGCGAAAAGTCATGAAAGGGTAGCTGGGGAGGTTTCGAATTGAATTTCATGGCGACTTCCTTGCAGAGTTTTAGCGGTACATGGTTGCAGTGAATGCCAGGAGCTGTAGAGGAGGGCGATGAGTTTTTCCACAAGCTCAAGAGGACTCTTTTTACGTGTGTGTTGATCTACTAGATCTTGACAGCCTCGCCTTGCTTAGCATTGCTTAGCTGTTTGCTCATTGCGGCGCAGCATGCCACAGTGCCATGGGGCACCTGTTGCAACGCCAGGCTTGAGCCGTTTTTTGGCTCTCTTCCGAGCACAGTGTCACCCAAGACTCCCAAGACCAACCGAACAATGCAGCAACACGAACAGATTGCGCGATCTCTTGACGTGATTTGGGTGCAAAACACCTTCACAGCATTTCACAGCCTGGTCATGTGAGACACATGGAAAATCATGGAATCTCACCACATAGCATTTCATGACACATTCTCTCACTGCACCGGGCGCTTTCAATCTCCTGTCCTCCGTGAGATGCCAGACCAATCTGAGTGCCTCATTGAAAGTGGGTGTTGCTGAAGTGATCTGAAGCCTTACAGAAAGAGCAATAGCTTCCACGTACTTTAATTGTATAGACGAGAATGCCTACAATCTTAAAGGCTAGGTATCTACATGTAATTACGAAGATACTGTACTTGATAGGGTTAAATAGAGTTGCAGTCTGACTCTTGCTGACATCTAGGCCGAACCATGACCTCCAACTGCTGCGCCGACGAGTCAAGCGGCAGCAGAGCCTCTTTGATTCTCTGGCTTCATTACTCGTGAACCTTCCAGCATCCTCACCAGAAACATAAAACAATCCCCCAAAAGAATCCAAAAGATGCAAAGGTGTTTCCAGGATAGAGTACAGATAGTTACAGATAGTATAGATGATATTGAACACGTAGTCCAGGGTTCCCACTTTTCTATCTATTTTGGGGTTGCCATTTTACAGTACACAGTAGGATTTGAGATCGAACCGGATTTGAAAAGAGTAGCAGCACCAGCACAGAACGAAGGTGTCACAAAATCTCAGGAAGCCCAGGAGCGCAAAAGATTGGAGGAGGAGAAGAAGTTAGTTCAAGAGTTTCTTGGCAGATTAAGCGCTGGTACCATCCTGAAGATGAGCTGATTGATGTACTTCGTAGCTCCTCGTGCCTTGTTTGGTTAAGTCATTCTTTCAGACTTGGATTCACAACATTCTTCTGGTTTTCCAGTATCATCCAATACCTGTAGCAGTACTGACCATCCAATGACTCTTGGCCAGCAATAGCCATTCAAATCCACAGGTATTTGGACTACTTGCGCGAGAAGAAGCTGCGCCAGCAACAGGAGAGTTTGACACGACTCTCCACTAGTCTTCACCAGTGCCCTTGTTTTCAAGGTGAGTTTTGTAGATAACTTGCAGATAACTTGCAGATAACTAGCACGCATCTGATGATTGCAACATATTTAATCTCAATGATTTCCCACGAAGTTTTACCTTTTTTTTCCCCGAGGAGCGACAGCAGCGCTTGGCGCAGGGCCGTCTTTCTTTGGCCAGGCGGAAAGCGGCGGAAGCGCAGGAAGTCTCAGAGGCGCCAGCTCTTTCCGGTTTTGGTGAATTAGTAACTATTAGCAACTATTAGTATGACATTTTGTTCATGGCTTTGTTGTGATGAGATGTGCTGAGTATGTCAGTATGTCCGATATGTTAGTCATATATATTGTAATGTATTGTAACATTATCGTTTTTTATTAGCCGTCATTATGATATATTATAGTTTATTATTATAGTATTTTATATGACTATATTCTGGACCAATTTTTGTCTCATTGTCTTATGTTTTCAGCTTTGATACGTCCATTTGGGAGGCACCCTCAAGCCCACAGAAGCTGACGGAGGGCGGTAGCACTTGCAGCCTCGGTGCTGAAGGGCGGGAGGATGCGCTTGACAGTTGCTGGATATGGTTGGCTATCGGCAGATTTGGATGTTGGATATGATTGGATACAGCACCAAAAAACACCAAAAAACACGAAATGTTTAGATACAAAATGCGTCAAAATGGACAAAAAACACTCGTTTGTTACGTGAATCCGACCTGCTCTTGTGTGGCGTGGTTTGAATGGTGACGGTGACTGCTTGCAGGAGCCTAAAGAAAAGCAAAAGGAAACAAAACTTCAGATCGAAGAATCCTTCACGCCGGCAGGGGACTGAAAGCCTGTCATGTTCAGTGTGGACCATTGATGAACATCGATGGAACATCCTTCCATGGCGAGACCTGTGAGGCCAAAATCCACAATGAAATACCAGCCGCTCGAATGCAGTAGGCTGCATGACTTGTAGAATCAAAGGATCCCAAAGGTCTGTTGCCAATGTCGGAGGGCAACCCCAGCAGCTCATACCAAGACCATCCTATTACATCATATTACATCACATCACATCATAATACAGTTAATAATACATCAATTCACATCATATCACATCATATTACATCATATCACATATACGATCATACACGTATATGCATTATACACTATGTTGTTCCATGATTGGTTCGTTTGTGCCCCTCTGCAAGCATTCGTTCCCGTATGTTCCCATTGGACCCAGGAAAAGGTGGCCAAGCTGTACCGGAAGTTCCGTGGGCCGCTGATGCTGAAGTACCTGAAAGAGTTGGCCGCGAATGACCAGGCGATGGCATCGATGGCGGTGTGCAATGGACATTTTTCGATCTTCTTCTTGGTTGAAGGGTAGTATCCGGATCTATCCAGGTCTATGAGGTCTATGAGTTTCATAAACAAGTTGATCCTTGCAACCAACGGCAGTCTGACAAAGTTGCCACCAGAAGCTGATACCATGATCTACCATGTCTGCGTTGGTCAGGTTAGTGGTTGGCGCCTAGATGAGCTTCTTTCAGTGCAACCCTCCAAGGCCAGCTTCCGACTCACAAGCATTTTTAATAAGAAAGTTGGGAGATGATATGCGATGATGCGTATCACATACATGACAAAGTTAAATCGGGAAGTAAATCCCTATATACTATTTAACTTCCGTCCTGGGTTTTCCCTGTGGCCGAGAATCACCCAAATCCCAGACGCGGATCGATGACCACCTCCCAGGGAAGCGGCTCAACTGTCCTTTCAACCAAAAAGCTGGGCTGGTCAGTGTCAGCTTGGGGATGCGCCACAGTTTACCATGGGGATACCAACACAACTGGAGGATTTATGCAATGGGCAGTTGACACTTCAAAATGGGGCCTTGGCCAACCAAACGGATCTCCTTATGGATATGCATATCATCAGCATATTCCATGTTCGCTTTGGGAAGGATTTAGATCACCTGGACAGGTTGAGGCAGAGTCCGAGAGGCCTGAGAAGGAGCTGTGAATGAACCTGTTGGTTGTTGGTGTGTTGTGAAGAAGCCAATGGTGGAAGAGCCAGAACTGATACTAACGGATCTAGAGGATAATAATAAAGGTTGTTCAAGTATTTCAAGCATATAAAAATATATCAAGTACGAGTATTGCACAAATGCTGGAAGATTTGATAGGAAGAGCTGAGGCGAGCACCCTTGAATGGACGCCCCTGGCTGGAAGGAGACGAAACGCTGCTGGTCGCATCAAGCTCGCAAGCAGCGCCTCAGAATGATGCACCAGGCCTGCTGCGATAAGTCAGTGACGTCAGTGTCTTGCTGCTTATGGCAAAATATGGCAAAATGTTGCAAACCATCAATCTCTTTGACCATTCTCTGACTATTCTATGCAGCATTATGCAGCTGAGATAACAATTTCACGCTTCCATTACCTCCATTGTCTCCCTATCTTCTTTTGATTGAAGTGTCTTGCAACTTTTGCGTGCAGTATAGTACAGCGACCCCGCCAGCCCCGCTAGCCAGGTTGCCACGGAGGTATTGAATGCAAAGCGGGAACTCGGCCATTGCTTTGCAGACTCCCCGCCCAGGCGCAGATTTTGTCCAGTCTTTGGCCAGTCCCGGGTTCAATGACATGGTAAGGTAGCTTCTTTGGAGGGAGCCATGAGAACTACACAAGCAATCATGTAGACCAATGCCAGTTCTCCCAAGTTGACGAAACTGCGGAGGCAGTGACTATTGGCGTGGTAGTATAGTGTAGTATATAGATCATTCCACGATCCGCATTTCTTGTTTCACCATGGGAACATGCAGGATCGCAGCCTGAGCTGAGCAGGCTCAAGCTCCTTGAAGATGGGAAACTCTTGTTCTAGCTTGGAATTATGCAGAGTCACAGGCTAGATCTCTTTCAGCTTTGTGGAAGTCAGGCTCTAACATCAAGAGCCAGAGTTCCGCAACGCAAACTGTGGTGGAGTGGCTCTCATCCTCCGGTTTTGGGGGAAGCGGTGCAAGTTTGTAGCTCAACCTTTAATGCTAATTTATGCTATTCTTGCTTGGCCCCCAGACCTCAGAGGCCAGAACCATGGCAAGGTGCAGTCAAAGACTCGCTCTTGCAAATCATTTGTGTTGAAGTTTGCCTGGCAAAATGCGCGGCAAACAACGGCAAAGATGTCCAAAGATGCAAGATCTGGGGTTTGCATATTTCCTTGTGCCATGGGAAAAGTTTTGGGGCGTCAATGTGGACAGCATTCTGGTGACAAACCAGGTGGACATGTTTACCACGAAACCCCAAACACAAATCAATTCAGTCTTGCTCTTCCTTATCTACAAGTTGGCGCGGGGTGTTCCACAACAAATGCTGTCCTTTTGTGTTGCCTGCTGTTTGGCTCACAGGGAGATAGACTGGTTGCACAACACTTGATTCCAAGCACGCCAGAGTCAAAGGTTTCTCAAAAAACACCAGCCACACAGCAACACGCCGGCACATACAACGCATTACCACAGCGGTTACTGCTGTATCTTTTTGTCGACTTGTGAATTAGGGTGGCTTCCAAAAGGAGCCCCGTAGAGTCCCGTAGAGTCATCTCCATTTTCCCGAGGAAAGATGAGGATCTTGATCAAGGGTGGTGTGTGGAAGAACTCTGAAGATGAGGTGCTCAAGGCTGCTGTCATGAAATATGGCTTGAACAACTGGCCACGAGTGGCATCCCTGTTGGCCAGGAAAAGCCCCAAACAGTGCAAGTCCAGATGGTATGAATGGTTGGATCCAAGTGTGAAAAAGACCGAGTGGACCCGCGAGGAGGAAGAGAAACTACTTCATCTTGCGAAGCTCTTTCCCACACAGTGGCGTACCATTGCGCCCATTGTTGGGCGCACAGCTTACCAATGCCTGGAGCACTATGAAAAGCTCCTGGACCAAGCACAGGGAAAGGATGAGATGGATGAGAACGACCCGCGTCGTTTGAAGCCTGGTGAGATTGATCCACATCCTGAGACAAAACCAGCCCGTGCAGACCCCATTGACATGGACGAAGATGAGAAAGAGATGTTGTCGGAGGCCCGTGCGAGGCTGGCAAACACCCGTGGAAAGAAAGCCAAACGAAAAGCACGAGAGAAGCAGTTGGAAGAGGCAAGGCGCTTAGCAGCGCTTCAGAAGCGACGAGAGTTGAAAGCCGCAGGCATCTCCACAACCAAGAGGTACAAGTCCCGGAAGTACATCGACTATGGTGAGGAGGTACCTTTTGAGGCTCAGCCACCAGTTGGCTTCCATGAGGTTGGTCCAGAGGAGACGCCCCGGGTATCCATGGGCCTTGCCAATGTCCGACTTCAAGCCATTGAGAATAAAAGCCGCATGGATGAGGAGAAGCGCAGGCGCAAGGATGATGAGCGAAAGTTGAAGCGGCTGAAGGAGGAGAATTTGCCGGAAGCCATTGAGATGATCAACAAGTTGAATGATCCCCAGCAATTGCGGAAGCGCACTGCACTGAACCTTCCTGCTCCTCAGTTGAACGATGAAGAGTTGGAAACCATCGTGAAGATGGGAGCTGATGCTGCGGCTCTGCAGGCTGAGAGTGCCGACAGCTCCACTGCAGGTCTTGTGCAGAGCTATGGTGACACTCCTGGCTCCACCCCAGTGCGAACTCCCAGGCGTCAAGATCCAGTGCTGCTCGAAGCACAGATCCAAGCGGGTGTGACGCCACGCCCCGAGGGAGTTGGTGGTGCTACCCCGGGAGCCACACCAGGTGCCACACCCGGTGCCACACCAGGACCAATCACACCCAACCCATTGCTGAATGCCACGCCTGGCTTGCGGGGTGGCGCGACGCCAGGGCCAGGTGCCACACCAGGTCGTGCCACACCAGGTCCTGGGGCATCCCCACAGTCGTTGCGCGATGGTTTGGCTCTCAACCAGGAGAATCCATGAGAATTTGGGATAAGTCGGGGGAATTTTGATTTATAGTTTATCTTGGGTTGGGAAAGAGGTTTGAGCTTTCTTTCCTGCATCAGTGGAGTTGAGAAGAGGAACCATACAGATTACAAATTAAGTTAAGCGATTGTTCAATATCAACTCATCAATTTTCCGATTCCGGTTTCAATCATCTTGCATCCATGTCTACGAGATTTTTGCGAATGTGTCATGAGTAAGCTGGTGACATTTGAGTTTTTGCCCAGCTTGTGCTGGAATTGTTTTCGTGTAGTTTGGACAGTCGCGCCATGATGTCCTGGCAGGAAGAGCTTGACCAGATGCCTGAAAGGCTTCGAAAGGCCAATCAGCGAATGCAGATGCAAGCAGCATTGGGAAACTTGCCTGCTCCGATGAATGAAGTTGAGATTTCCATGCCAGAACTGATGGAAGAGGAGGCGGACACACAAGCGCCCTTGGAAGAGGATCAAGCCGATGCTGACAAGCGTCGAGAGAAGGAGGAGCAGTTGCGACTGGAGATTGAGAGGCAGAAACAAAGCCAACCAGTGAAGATGGGTTTGCCTCGACCAGTTCAGACGTCGATGATGATTTTTGAGGCTTCAGCATCACAGGCGGCTGGTGAGGCACTTTCAGGACCACAGCACTTGCTGCAGCAGGCAGAAAGTATGCTCCATGAGGAGATGGCAAACATGATCACCCGCGATGCGGTTCTCTTTCCGGTGAAGGGTGCCAAACCTCCCAAGAAGGCACCGCCAGAGATGGACGTCAGCTTGGAAGAGCTGAAATCAGCAGCTGACATGTTGGAGGAGGAACTTCATACCTTCTCTCAAGCTGCTGGTGGTGAGCTGAGTGCAGAAGCTGCAGTGAAGGCAGCTTTTGAGGATGGTTCGGTGAAGCAGTTCGTGTTCCTGCCCTCGGCCAAACGCTTTGTGGATTCGAGGCTCATGGGCAAGAAAGAGCGTGCCGAAGCGGCCAAGCACCAGTTCGAGATGATTGATGCCAATCAGCAGAAAGAGCTGAAGAGAGTGAAGAAGTTGGAGGAGAAGATGGAACGTTTGCTGGGAGGCTACACCACCAAAGCCAGGCAAGCTTTGCTGCACATCCGGAAGCTGACGGAGGAGCGGGAGACAGTTGCCATCGAGACAGAAGTCTTTGAGACTTTGAGGGCCAGAGAGGAGAAGGCCATTGAGACTCGTGTTGAGGAGTTGCAGGAGCAGGTGGAGCGTGAGAAGAACAGGAATAAGAAGCTGCAGAACCGCTTCAAGGAAGTTCAGAAGACTGTGGAACTTCTCAATGGCAAGCTGCAGTGATGTATGACGACTGTGCAGGGGCCAACGGGGCGGGTGGAGCATAGCCAAGCGCCCCAGTGCCCAAATTTGCGCCACGACCAACGGCCGCAGTCGAAAGCAAATCTGAGCGAACGGCAAGAATGAGCACACACACACATACTATCACATACTCACAAGTAAGTGACAGTATCGGCACAAAACATGATGTATTGCAAACTACACTTGTATGCAATGCGTAGATATGACATTTCTATACGTTTCTAGTGCAAAGCAGTGTAGTAGTATCCTGGTGTTGCTATTTTGCTTGCACGTTTTTGCTTGTGGCAGACAAAGCTGTGACCAATATTGTGTCCGAAGCGCGGTGAGGAAAGTGTGGTGTGCTTTGCAGGACGGTGAATTGGTACAACAAGCACGGGAACCTCACAGACCCAATTCGATTGAGTCAGGCGGGTGATGCACCAGACATTCCACCGGATCCCAACAGCCTCCAGGGCTAAGGGGGTGCTAATTTTCATCCCCAATTGCTCACGTCCCATGGCCACTCGCAAGCGCAGGTACAGGACATCCTATGTGAGATCAAGCCGAACCAGGCCATGAAGATCCTGTACGACTTGGACACCGCAAAGGACAAGGACTGAGCAACAGCGCAGTCAAAACTGCGGGGATTTTGGTGTCAGCGATTTACTAATTTCTGCCAGCGATTTCTATCGATTTCTATCGATTTCTCGTGGTCAGATGTGGTCAGTTCCGGCAAAGTTGATGCTCGACATTGCTCGACTGCCGTGACCCCAGGAGAGCTTGCAGGACCCCACCAATTGGATCATCGCAGAGGCCAAAAAGCGGCGCCAGGCCAACGAGCAACCCAAGGGCAAGGCCGGCAGCTCGCATTTCCGTCGACGTATATTCAAACTGTGCATACACACAAGCACACGCGGATATATATATATATATATTTATTTATTTATTTATTTATTTATTTATATATATATATACACATACATACACGCATTCTATATTAATATGATTATTTGAAATCTGGCAGAGTTTTGGAAAAACGTGGCATTTTTTGGCACTGTTGCAAAGTTTTGGAGCAATTCACGTCCAAAGCTTGACAGGGTGACGGAAAGGGCGAGGACAAGGACATCAAGACCAACCACAAGAACGATGGCCACTTGGTCTGGCAAATTTGGATCGCTTGCCCCGTCAGACTTCAACGCTTTGCTTGGACGGTTCCGACGCTTCCGACGCTTCCGACGGTTCCAGGCAAAACTGAGAAGCCTGATGCGGTGCCGGAATGGCGCAGCACCTCTGCAGCATCTGATTTTCTGTTTCACTTGTCATTCCACTTGTCACTCCTGACCTGATGGGCATCAGTGACACGTTCTGATGCTTCGTGAGGCCAGGATGCAACCAATGACAAGAATGCAAAGGGAGCAGCAACCAAAGGCAAGAAACCCGCAACGGGATCTATGGATACCCATGTGCAATGGGGTCAATTTGAAAAGAGGATGTCATCGATCATGCCCAGATATGTTGTATGAGGGGCTGGTGAACAATCAGCACGGTCCCTGGGCAAATTGGCTTCGCTCTTTAGGGTCCCAAGTAAGTTAATTAAGGGGAATGACTTGATCTAGTTTCTGCAATGTTTTTAAACATTACTGTATCATTAGGATCATTTTGGGCAAATAGCCTTGGCTAATGTGTAGCACATTGCCGTGCCCACAGGTGCGAGCAAGGGCATCTCAGCTGCACCAGAATTGACCAGCATTGTCAGTGTTTGAACGACTGGTCTCCATGATGGCCAGCAGGCACAATGCCGTGAATCCAAAACTAACTAAATCATGAAAACTCAGTGACAGTGACACTTTTCAGACCTTGTCCCAAGCTCGAATTTGACAGTTTAACGATGTTTAAATATGTTTAACGTACATACATTGCACATGCTAACTAGGTAATCTAGGTATGAATGAATTTGCACAGACCTATAATCCTGCAAGTTTTCAGTAGTTTTCAATGCACACACCAAGGAAAGACTGAGGAGGCTGAGGAAGAAACAGACCAGTGGTGGCCCCAACTGTGCACTTTGTCCATACCATCCCCGTGCATCAATCCCTTCGGCCGTTCGCCCCACATATACGTCCCACCAATGATCATCCATGATCCGCGCATTTCTGTGGCCCTCTTTCGGCACCAGAAAACTGCATCCGAAAAGACCTATCACGATGTACCGAGGTTTCGTGCGAAGATGAAGCGGACCATCAACTGGTGTGCAGGGATTTTGTGGGTAGTTCATGAAAAAAAGTGGATGATGCCCGGTGTTCCTGGAAAAGATCTGTCGAGCATGCCACTGTCTAGCACTACCAAACTAATCACCAAAGCTCTTCTCTTTACTCAGCCCAAGTGCAATAAGTGCAATGCAGAGAGCCAGTAGCTTCTGAGAACAACTTGCCCCACTGTCATTCACTGGCTGGACATGGACATGTGCATATTAGCAAGACTCGTAGGTGCCAGCATTCTGGTCATCCCATGTCCGCCGTCAGCCCATGGCCGAGGTACAATCGCCATGGCCACCTGTGTGCGCCAATTCGCTTCCAGGAAGTCATTACAACTCTTGGCAGCACCGACCCTCGTGTCGCCATGAGGCCGGGACATGCTGGGACTGAATCTGGCCCGTAAATTTGTTGATGATTATTGTACCTCTGTCATCCTTTAGCAATCTTTATCATCTTTTACATATGTTTACCATCTTTACCACATTTACCATCTTTACCTGGGTTTACCTGGGTTTACCTACTTGTCCCTGTGTCAAGATAGCTCAGATCAAGGCCGGGTGAGCCACTCAGATGCAGCTGGCTTTCAAGATGCCAGGATCCTCAACGACTTGGATCAAGCAAATGCCGAAGCCGTGCTGAGCGACCCCACCAAGTGGATCATTGAGGACCAGCCACAACATGCCACAACTGGAAATCCCAGATCAAATGTCGCCAAGTTGAGTACATATAGATACAAATAGTATCAAATAGTATCAAATAGTCAAATAGTTCATTTTGGGGACTACTTCATGCTGAAGCATTGCCCTTCTGAGTGTGCAGATTACCAGTCGGTTGGAGGAGTGTCGTCGGCGTGCCCCTGGAGTAGGGGTGCTCAAATCCACAATGTTTTTGAGTGCATAGACTTGAAGTCAAAAGCTGGGATTTAATGCTTACCATGTGCTTTTGGTCATGGTCACTCAGCATCTGGCCATCAGCGCTTCTGTGGCCCAAAGAGCATAAAACTTCTTGAGACAAGTTACAAACACAGTTTCAGATGGATGGCACATAATGCAGCCCGTAGAACAAAACTTTCTAATCTCAATGCATGTTCTCAGCATCATCAGGAGTTTGCCAATCACAAGCTGTTTTTTTTGAAGTTGACCAAATCAGACCCATTGAGGTTAAATTTCGGTTGCGTGCTCTTGCAATAAATGGGCACTATAGGAGATGACTTAGAGATGACGTGGCATACGTGGCTTTAGCGAAGTTGCTCACCCTTCCATATTTTTTCCAACTCGGCCAGTCGCCATGTCGGTCCTGGTGCGCAACGGGAAGGCAGCAAGTCCTTGGCATCTTGGCTGTGCTGAGCGCTTATCACTCAGCGATATCCAAAGAGGAACCGTTTTTTTCACATCTTTCGCTGAGATGTTTGGATTTATTTTCTGTAGACATGTTTAGACATGTTTAGACATGTTTAGACATGTTAAGACATGTTTAGACTACGGACCTCAGATCCTCAGTGTGTGCCAAGGCTTACGAAGCACGACTTGTTGCACAATTACAGTGGCGCCTATACAACTGCGCGGACAGTTTCCCAAAGCTCCATTTTCGAATTTTCTATGCATTGCCAAAGGCCACAAGGGAGTGCTTCGCCGCTTTAGCAATGACATGAGCAGCTGTAAGGTGCTGACTGTTAGACCTCTTGAACAGTGATGGGCAGCTAATCAATTGAGGCAAATTATTGAAAAGGAACGCACTTGCGAGGTTTTTTTTTGAAATCCAGCATCACTTTAGCGAATCAGTGTGTGCAGGCTGGTGGACACTGGCAGAGATGTTCTGCGAAGAAGATTGGAGGAAACTCCTGAGCTGGAGGGTCGCTTTCGCAAAGCTCTGAGCTTCCTTGAGCCAGCGAATGTACGGTCGGCCACCAGACTGACACTTTCTGGAGACGATGCACTATGCCCTGGGATTATAAGCTTTGGGATGTCCACCATATCTTCACAATTTCCATCTTGGTTTTCAATTTCAAAGGTCGTACAGTAGAGTCTTAGGCATAGTCTTAGCATGTCTTAGCAACCAACATCAACCAACTAAGGTTCTGAAGTGCGAGTGCCTGACTGCTTTCGACTACTTGAAGAGCCTGGAGCAGTCCGAGCAGGGCGTCCATGATTGCGAGTATCAAGTGACCGTCCTTCTCACAAGTGACACTGCAGAAGACGAAGGTCCTGGCCTTGATGTCTACACCTATGTGCAAGCGCTCCCATTTGTTGAAGCTACAGCGTCCTGGTGGTATAGAAAAACATGAACAACTTTCATGGGATATTTTTTGGGCTTCCAGGACCATGTGAGTTGATATACGTTGACATAAGGAGTAGCAGAACAATCGTGAGCTGCTTTTCCAGTTGAGCTGAAACAGGTTGCCGTAGAAGCAAGGCAAGCACAGAGAAGCAATCCTACAGTGAAAGACGCTCAGTGGGTGAATGACCGGCAGCACCTTGAAGAGATTCAGCGTCAGCTTGGTGTGAATGAAGTGATTATGCACGATGATTCTGGTAGCATTTCTGAAGGGCTTCAGACCAACTTCTTTGCAGAGATTGATGGCGTTTTGCTTACAGCCCCGGATGACTGCGTGCTTTCTGGCACTGTGCGGAAGGTGGTTCTTGAAGTCTCCAAGGCCAACGGTATTCCAGTCAAGCTCGAATGCCCGAATATGGGCGACATAAATCGTTGGGGCAGCTGCTTTATTTGCTCAACTTCCCGTTTGGATGCTGGTCTCATTTTCCTGCAATCTTTGTATGTTGTATGCGATGCATGTATCGTCCAGAATTTCTGCCAACATATCAGGATCACATATCCCTCTACCATTCTCTACCATTTTCTAAAGTCTCCAGTCCCAGACTTTGACTTTTTCTTCGCTAAGGTGAAGCCCATCCACGCGCTTACCTCGCCAAATTTTGGCGAACGACGCTTTGAGAAGGGCGCAGGCCTTGCGCATCGGCTGGAGGAGACATGGTGCGATATGGGTTCCATATGGTTCCACGGGGTCACGGGTTCTCTGTTTCTGTGTCGACTCCATACATCATCCACTCTGCATTGGACAATGTTGGACAGTATGCCTCTTTGATCATCTTTGACCATCTTTGACCATTGATTTTTTTGACCAGTGTGCACCCTGAGGAGTTGGTTCTGCAATCTGTACAGCAGCATGCGGAGCCCCTAACTGAGTGAGAACCTGGGCCCAAGAGGGGCTGTTGGTCAGGGACGACTTTGGCGCTGTCGAATGTGACGGAAGCCACACCATGAATCGCCGCGGAAAGAAACAAGACAACTTGCCAGTGCTAGGAGGCTAGGGGCATAGCATACATGATCATAAATTACAAAAATTACGCATATAATTAATCACTTGGTGGAGGAATAGGATGCAATTTCAGAACTCCTTTTGGCGCGAAATTGGGTTCACAGTTCGCGTCAAAAGAACAGTTTTTACTGCAATTAATAATCTTTTGACTGCCTTGAAGTTGGTCATCAGATGTTATGGGCTGTTGCACCTGCCAAGGCCCCTGGTGACAAGGGTTGGTCTCTCAGTAAGGGCGTGATGAAAATGTAAAGATGTCGAAATGTTTGCACTCGTGACATTAACATCATCTTTCTCAAAAGCTTATATAGTATATTATTACTTACTATATTATGTAGCAATTTTCTGAAAATGCATTGTCCCCAAATTCAACGCCAAAGTTGTGATTTGGCAGGTTTTCGGTGATGTTGCAGTCGGCGTTTTCAATTTGCATGAGGCGCACCGAACTCCCAAAACGCTGGAACGAAGGCGACAGCAACTGGGTTGCAAAAAGCCCTCTCTCATCATGACAACTCACATGTATCGGTCAACCTGACCAGGTCTCTCATCCATGATTTTCCCCTCCACATTTTCCTTGCCACTTCAGGATGTGCCCCAGCCGAAGCCACTAGCCCTCAGCAAGTTGGGAGGCTGGCTGCCGGGGCGGCAGGGCTTTTGATCACGACCAGCATCTAGCATTTGAAGATTCCGAAGATATGGTGACGATGAAATACGATGATACGATGAAATACGATGAAATACGATGAAATACGATGAAATACAACGAAATACGATGAAATGAAATACGATGAAATACGATGACTGAGTAGACCAAACAATCAAACTCTTGATGCTTGGATCTGGGTCCCATTTGGATCATTTTGGATCTCAGTCTCAAAGACCTAGCAGATGATGATGTAATGAGAGGGTGGGGATTGGTGCGCTCGGACATTTCGTCTTGGAGGCCTTACCGCTGTGCCAACTCGTCTTGGCCCTCCGAACCTTCGCTGCACTTCCAACAGGGGATCCCGAACTTGCTAGATTTAATTAGATTTAGCTCCAGATCGATTCCGGATTCTGTAGCCGGAAGTATGCCGGAAGTAAGGAAATGTAAAGAACGGTTCAAGTTCAGATCCACCACTGCACCTCCAGAACGTTGTAATGTAGGGACGTTTGCCCGGCCGAGGAAGAAGGACACTGCAGCAGCAACAGTACCTGCCGCAACGCCCGTGTCTCAACAACTGAGTTGTGAACAACGCTGGATCATGAATGGTAAACAGTTGGACGCCCCGGCCAAAAGAAAACACAACATTACAATACAAATACAAACACAAATGCAACTACAAATGCAAATACAAATGCCAATACAATACAGAGGTGGAATGGTTCATCCATGTTCATCCCCATATGACAGAGTTGAGATTGAATGCATTTGAATGCTGCAGAGCAATAGAAAGAACAGGCTTTTCGAGTCCAACCCATCGGCATTGGCACCAGGCCATGACGATTTCCATCCTGCACCAGATGGTTGCGCACTTAAAAGGGATTGAGGCCCAGGCCAATTGAGATCGATCTATGGAATCTATGGAATCTATGATGCCAAACAGCACCCCACAGATCTCGCCAGATCTCCAGAACCTTTGCTTTCTTTATTTTATTGACTAAGGAACAAGCAGAACAGGGTGCTGTGAGCCTCCGGCTCTGCATGAGCGAGTCAAGACTGACATGAAAACCCGGATTGCCATCCACTCACAAAAAGGCATTCACTGGCGCACGTTACCAGGACATTTGCTGGGCACAGTTATGTGGCAATATACTTGTAGGCCTGGAGTCGGTAAAGTCAGAGTAAGTGAACTCCTATACCAGAGCCAACACCTCAAACTTGGAGTTTGGAGGAGAGTAGCCTAAACTGGAATAGCTGAAGAGCTGTTCCTCTCAAAATGCCTGATCCAAGAAGTCCCGCTAAAGCTGCAGACAGTCGGCTTCGCTCGTGACAATGTCGACTTCCTTTCTTTTTCGCCATCGGAAATGTCGGAGAACATCTCTTTGGAGTAGCCTGCGATCTTTGATGTTCTCCCAATCCAAGGAACAGTTTGTCAAAGAACCTATATTTCACCCCTCTACTATGGCCCTTTTGGAGTCATTTGCCAACAACGTTTAAACAAACACACACACATGTAATATATTATATATAAAATAAATGCATAAGTACATAATTATATATATATATATATATTAATTATATAATGCGCATACACATCTATCTATCTATATTTATATATATACATTTTGCACTGTATACATGTGTATATTTATCTTTACGCACGCACACACACACATATACGTATATATATACTGTGGAGGACCAGCACTTAGAATTTTTTAAAAAAATTAAAGTTTTAGAATATGGATTTATGTTAATTTTTAACATACTTGAGCCCGGGGTGAAAAGCACTAAGAATATTCAAATCGAGGGGGTACACATAGAATATTTTGGTAGTATGCTGTCTTAAGGAAAAACTAGCTACATCCGACCATATAGTATGCTCGTCCTCCACAGTATCCCAATAATCCCCAATAAATTTCATTACTGCTGGCCTCCTCTCTCTCTCCATCCCCGTTTACCAGCTGGAAACCGGTTTTCTACTGTATTATCGTAGGCATAATGGTGGCTAATCAACAACATTGGGATACAATAGTCAGAATTGCTGAAGATCATTGTTTTGGTGTTCCCCTTGGTTATCCCACTATATAGGAAATCTATAGATGTTTGTCGGGACTACTGTATTTGTGACAATAACAAGAACAGTAAACTTGTTGGTTCGGTACCTTCTTTGATGGACTATCAGTGACAATGTGGTTGTGACCATATTCTAAGTACATTCACCGCTCACAAATGCACAGCTTTACCCAGGCAAAAAACAACAAAGGCCAACCGGCTGGTACTGTACCATGCGTGTTTTGCAATACCAAATGCAACAATTGCAAGTCTATGTCTATGTGGTGTACTGACATTGTTTTGCAATCATAAAGTCAGCAGTTGCAAACTTTTTGGCACTTGACCTTACTTGTTTTCTATTCTTTGCCTTGCTTGAGGTAAAAGTGACTATGTAGTTGTGGCCATATTCTAAGTGCATTGACTGCCCATAAGAGCACAGTTATGCAAGCAAAAGCAGCAAGTGCAAAACCGGTTGGTGCTGTACCATGCGTGTTTTGCTGCAGTACCAAAAACAACTGTAAACCATGAGGTGCCGTACTGAGATTGATCGGCGATCATGAACTCAGCAGTTGCATGTTTTTTTTATATGTTTTTTTGTATTGTAGCGCGGCTTGTCTAACTCAACTGTACTGTAATAGGTTTCTATTCTTTGCCTTGCTTGAGGTAAAAGTGACTATGTAGTTGTGGCCATATTCTAAGTGCATTTGCTGCCCATAAATGCACATTTTTACACCAACAAAAGCAACAACTGCCAACCAGCTGTTACTGTACCATGAGTGTGTTTCGCAGAACGAATTGCAACAACTGCAAGCCGATGTGGTGATGTACTGAGATTGTTTTGAGACAGCTGCATTTTTTTGCAATTTACCTTTGTTTTGCAGGAATTAACGAACCCAACTGTATGTTTCTGTTCTTTGTCTTGATTGATTTTCAAAGTGACTATGTGAGTTGTGATCATATTCTAAGTGCATGTGCTGCCCATAAATTAAATGCACAGTTATACAGGCAAACGGCAAACGCAACAACTGCAAACGGGTTGGTAATGTACTATGCGGCGACCATACGTGTTTTGCAGTGCCAAATGCAAAAAATGTAAACCATGTGGTGTTGTACTGAGGTAGTTTTGCAATTATTAACTCAGCAGCTGCAATTTGTTGGGAACTGTACCTTGCTTGCTTTGCAGTAACAAATTCAACTGTAAACTGTTTGGTTATGCACCTTCCTTGATGGACCAAGCCACTCCGGCAACTCTGACAATATTCTAAGTGCATTCACTGCCCATAAATGCACAGCTTTACACAAGCAAAAACACAACTGCCAACCAGCTGGTACTGTACCATGAGTGTGTTTTGCAGAACGAAATGCAGCAACTGCAAGCCCACGTGGTACTGTACTGAAATTGTTTTGCAATCATGAACTCAGCAGTTACAAACTTATTTTGGCACTGTACTTTGAATGTTTTGTGCATTCACTACCCATACATGGACAGGTTCACACAAGCAAAAACAACAACTGCCAACCAGCTGGTACTGTACCATGCGTGTTTTGCAGTACCACGTGCAAGAACTGCAAAGCATATGGTGATCGGATGAAATTGTGTTGCAATTGTGAACTCAACAGCTGCAAACTGTTTGACACTGTACCTTGCTTGCTTCGCAGGAAGGAACTCAACTGCAAACTGTTCGGTTATGTGCCTTCCTTGACCATATTCTAAGTGCATTTGCTGCCCATAAATGCACATGTTTACACCAACAAAAGCAACAACTGCCAACCAGCTGGTACTGTACCATGAGTGTGTTTCGCAGAACGAATTGCAACAACTGCAAGCCGATGTGGTGATGTACTGAGATTGTTTTGAGACAGCTGCATTTTTTTGCAATTTACCTTTGTTTTGCAGGAATTAACGAACCCAACTGTATGTTTCTGTTCTTTGTCTTGATTGATTTTCAAAGTGACTATGTGAGTTGTGATCATATTCTAAGTGCATGTGCTGCCCATAAATTAAATGCACAGTTATACAGGCAAACGGCAAACGCAACAACTGCAAACGGGTTGGTAATGTACTATGCGGCGACCATACGTGTTTTGCAGTGCCAAATGCAAAAAATGTAAACCATGTGGTGTTGTACTGAGGTAGTTTTGCAATTATTAACTCAGCAGCTGCAATTTGTTGGG